TCTCAGGTCGCTGCTCATGTTCAGTCAGTCCACATCAACCCAGTCAGTCCCCATCAGTCCCCATCACCCCAATCAGTCCCCATCTCCCCAATCAGTCCAAGCAACGCCAATCAACCGAATCAGTCCCCATCAGTCCAATCCGACCCATCAGTCCAATCAGTCCCTCCCTGCCCGCTCGGCCAGGATTCGAATCCCGATATTGTTCGCCGTGCTGGGCATTGGTGGGCGGTTCTCTTTCTCTTTGAAAACAACCCCGCGTGGGCCACCCTACACGGGGGAGGTTTCCGGAGCCTGTTCGTGCAAGGCACGTAGTACAAGGTTTTCCTCAGGTTGTCTTTCGGTTTTCCTAGGTTGTCCTTGCGTTCTCCTCAGGCGGTCGTAAGTTTTCCTTAGGATGGATAAATCGAGGATGAAGTTTCTCACGGTCCTCGTGGGTTCCCCCCTCCCCGTGGGGCCCGAGTTCCACACGGAAGCTAATATTTTCCATTATTGCTGGGGTCCCAGTCCGTCAATAAGCCCGCGGGGCAACCATATATTTGCGCACTATTGGGGGGGGTCAAAAGACTCTCAGGGGTTAAACTGTCGCTGCCGACCCCCGTCCAGCGGCGGAAGGTCTCGGCTGCCTTCCGCGCACTCTCCGCCGACGGCGCGGGCAGGGCCTCAGCGCCCGCTGGGGGCCTGGGCGGGCGGAGGCAGTCCCCGTCCGCGCGTGCTCGCCGCGCCTGTGGTGCCCACTGTGCGGCGACAACTTTAACGCATTCTGGTCCACGTGCGGGGGCTCCTTCGAATTCATCGCAAGGGGCCCAGCCCCGAGGGCCACCTCGATGGGCGCGCGGCCCTTCGCTGGGCGCCCGCGCAGCCCAGCGGGCGCCCAAAGGTTGCCCCATCAAGCTCGGTGGCCTGGGCCCTCGGCGCAGCTGCCCTCCGCGGCCGATACACTGGCCGGCGCTGCCTGGGCTCGCCGCCGCCGTCGCCCTCGCCGTCTGGCAGGGCCCCCCGCGGTTCCGCGCGCGAAGCGCTTGACCGACCAAGCGAAGCCGCAGTGCTACTCGTCGGCCTCTGCCCAGCGGCCCGGGGTCGGTCGCCGCCAGCTCGCTCGCGAGCCGCCGATGCGAGGCGCGCGTCGCCTCGGTGGCCGCCCAGCCGTCCTCGCAGAGTTCAACCGCCTTGGTCCAGCGAGCGGCGGGCCTTGGCAGCTGGGCCGCGCCTGCTGTCGCGCCGCCCCCCGCGGGCGCCTGCTCCGCCGTCTGCCAGGCCATCAGCTGCCGCGCCTGCGTCGCCTGGGTCGCCCTGCGTTCGGCGCCGGGCGTCGGCGCCCGCGCCGTCGCTCTCGTGCTGGCTGAGGCGCGCGCGCGTAGTGCGCGCAAACGTGCATCCGCCCCTCGCGGCATCGCACTGCACTTATGGCGCGCATGTGGGGGGGCCAATGTCGCCCGAGACAGCGCGCGGCCCCCCTCGCACCTGCCGCGCCCGCGCCCGCGGCGCCCCGCCCCCCCTCGCCCGCGTCGGCGGGCGCCCCTTCGGCGCAGAGCGCTGGGGGAGGGGGGGGGGGGCGGAGTGCCTCGGTGAACCGATCGCCCCGGGCCGCGCGCGCGCGTGGCTCCCGCGGGCGGGCGCCGTCGGCGGCGGCACCCCGCCCTTGGGAGCGGCCAGTTGGAGCCCCCGTGCCCGCGCAGACGCGCCACCTCGTGGACTCGCGGCATGCCAATGACTCGCGGGCCCCCTCCTCCCAGCTGACGCGGTCGAAGAGGGGCAGCCGGCGCGGGGTGCGCACCGCGCCCCGCCTGCCGCCTGACCCGCGACGCCGCGCTGAGGGGCGCGCGTCGAACGCTGTCCGCAGGCGACCCTCGAAGTCCCGCGCCAGGCACGCGGCGGCGCGGGCGAGCGCGGGCAGGCCCGGCACGCGGAAGATGTGCGGGGAGCATGGGTTCATCCACTCGCCCTTGTCCCCGCGCGGCTTGGGGCCGCTCGGGTTGGGTGCCCAACTCCGCGGTCGACGCCCCGAACGCCGCTCGTATCTTTGCGGGGCCCGCGCTTCCACGCGCCCGACCTCGCGCCGCCCGGGGCCCCGGTCGACCCGGCAGCTCTGGGCCGCCCCGTCGACCGAAACAACCGGCGGCGCCAGCTCGAGGCGAACCTGCGAGAAGAAGTCGCTCAGGCGCGTCAATTTCTTGCCCTGGCAGCTCGCCTCGATCCCCTTCGTGGGTCGAGCGCGCGCCTGCGCCCCGAAGGTGAAGCTCGGGGGGCCCCCAGGCCACGGTAGAAGGTCTCGCTGCCAGGGTCGATCTGGCGCAGACGAGCGCGTTCTACACGGCCGCGCATAGGTCCCGACGCGCGTTGGCGAAGTCGTCGAAGCCGCCGCTCTGGTCGATCTGCGCCCGCGCCGCGTCGCGCTCCAACGTCTGGTGGCAGCGGCCCGGAGGGCCGAATCTCAAAAACATCCTCCGGGCCCAAGGCCCTGCAGGACTGGCCGAGGTCGGCGCGGCACTTCAAGGATAACTCGACCGCCGCGCGCGGCCTGCAGGGAACGGCGAGACCGCGCGCGGCCGCGTCGAAACGCCGGCGCTCCGCCGGCCCGATCCAGCGCCCCCGCGCCGACGATGAACCAGTCCAGCTCGGGCGCTTCCTTCTCTAGAGAGAACTGGCAAGCGCCCTGCGCCGAGTCGACGACGTAGCTAGCGCCTTGCCTCGCCGACGCGTGCGCTGCGCGCGCGTCGGGACTGTCTGTCGGGCTCGACGTCCCAATCGCAGGCCAGGGCCCGGGGATTTCCCGCGCGGGCATGCCCGCGTCCTGCGTGACCCACTCGCCGCGCTCGCCCACGTCGCCGTTGCCCAGGTACGCGGAGCCGGGCAGGAAGCCGGCAAACACCGCGCCGCTGACGTACGCGACCGCGGCCCTGCCGCCACCCGCGCGGCAGCCCCTCTCGGCGCCCCCTTCCCCGGGGCCGCTGGCGCCGCGGACCGAGCGAACTGCAATGGCCGCGCCGCCGCTGGACGCCACGCGCGCCCTCGCCCCCGCAACAACGACGCCCGGGGCGAGCACTGCGCCCCATCCAACCTGAATGCGCTACTGTTCCTGCTCGATCGCACGGCAGCCGCCGAGGCGGTGCTCCTGCAAGCAAATAGGGCCCCTAAAGCGAAGCTGAGACACCAACTCCTGCCGCGGGTCGCTCTGCTCGACCAGGAGCGTGGCGAACGGGCCCCAGCCGCTGCCATTGAGGCTGGCGATGACGAAGCCAGGCTCGCCATCCGCGCCCCCCCCCTTCACTGGCCCCCCCCTTCGCTGGCCGCCCTGGCCCGCCTGAAGGAGGCGGCCTTGGCTGCTGGGCCGTTGGGCCGCGCCCCTTCCGCGCCAGCCCGTGCTTCCTCCTCTTCCTTGTCGCATTCCTCCTGCATGACGTCGTCGGCAAGGGCGCCCAGGTCGGCGCCCTCGAGGTGCAGCCCCTCCTCTTCTCTGCTGGCTTCGCCTCTCTCCGCTTCAGATCCAGCGGCTGCGACTCCATGCGCCAGACGCTGGAGTTCCGAACTTGCGCATCCCACTGTTCGGAGAACTCTGGGTCGAGCATGCCTGAGGCCTGGCCGAGGGCTGCAAGGAGGGCGTTGGCGCGCTGAGCCTCGCTGAGGATCTCGATTGTATGGGGGTCGCTTGCCGCTGCTGGGGGTGCCGGCGCCGTTGCTCCCCCAGCGCTGATGCCTCCTCCCCGTGCTGCACTGTCACGCTCCCGTTAGTGCTTAACCAGGAATATGTCAATGAGGGCCTGGAGCTCCTTCTCGGTGGTCTGGCTCTGCTCGCGCCTGCCTTCGATCTCGACCTTCTTGACCTGGGGCGCGACGATCCCCTGTGTAATGTCGTTGAGATGCCGCTCGGGCGTTTCCATCGTGCTCGTTTGTTGTTTGTTGTTGTTGTGTTGTTGTTTTGTTTTTTGTTTGCGCTCCAGTTCGCTGGGGTGAACTGGACGCGGGCTTCTCCTCAGCGAGCTCCAATTCGAACTGCTCTGCCTCACGACGCTTGGCGACAGCAACCTCTTATGAGCCGTCCATACCATCGAGTTATTTGATCGCACATCGTAGTTTGCCAAGACTACGTGCACGCTCATAGTTTCCTTGCTGCTGGGCACCAGCTGTATGACCTGCTCCAGCGTCGCTGCCACATGCGTGTCCTCCTGCGTCGAGCTTCTTGACCTTCCGCCGCGAATGGTTGAGCTCGTGGCGTTCTTTGGCGTCCAGTTGTGACAGGCAATTCCACCACGATCCTCCAAATCCTTGCTCCCAACAGTCATAGCCGCAGCCACGATCGACGCGCCTGGTGCTCTAATCCTTTTTGGTTCCGCGCTGCGGGCAATCCCAGGCCTTGGGCTGGCTGCGTGCGCCGCCGCTGCCGCCTGTCGGTCCGCCACCGTGTCTGCCTCCTACGCTGCCCCTGCCGCCACCGCCGCTCACGGCACCTCGAACACTACCAGCACGTCCTGCCATTGGTCGAGCCCGCGCATGCAAGACTCCCAATCGGGCGACCAGGGTCGGGTGTCGGAATGGTTATGAACATGAAAAGACTGTGGCCACGAAGGCCTCGCTGAAGGCTTGGTCGACTCGGATTCTAACCAAAGAAGTGACGCGACGGCTAGGACCAGCCACATGGGACCAGACACTTTCCTTGATCGCGCCATCTTGAGCCAAAATGGCTACGTATGATGATGTTGATGATGATGATGATGATGATGATGATGATGATGATGAAGGATGACGATAATAGTAACGATAAGGATGATGATGGTGATGATGATGGTGATGATGATAAGGAAGATGGTCATGATGATGCTGATGCTGATGCTGATGCTGATGATGCAGCTGGTGATGCTGCTGATGATGATGGGGGTGGTGATGATGATGTTGATGATGATGATGATGACGATGATGCTGCTGGTGATGCTGATGATGAGTATGATGGTGGTGGTGGTGGCGGTGCTGATGATGCTGATGATGCTGATGACGACTACGACGGCGCTGGATGTGGCACGATCGGAAGAGGCCTCAAACGCAGGATCCACTCATCAAATGACGCTGCGCGGCCGCACACTTCACCGAGCCTGCCATGAGATCGACCGCGAGGCCGCCGACGGAAAGAAGCCTCGTGCGCCTGCGCGCCTGCTCCACAGAGCGCTCGTCATCGGCGTCCCCCGCAGTCGAGATGTCGAGCTGAAGGAAAAGCAGCCACCGCCAAGACGCTCACACGTCGTTCGTTTCTCGTGCCGCCCGGTCCGACTCCCACCCGCTTCCAAATGAACCTGGCTACAGGACTGCTGGAGCAGAACGGCGAGAGGTGAAACCCATCTCTTCCTCAGCCTCCCAGCAGATCCTCTGCCCGTCTCCCCTTCTCCTCCCGCCTCTTCCCCTGCTCCCCTACAGCATTGCCATTTCTCACTTAGGCCTATCCCTTCTCCTCAACTTCGTCCTTCTTCGTGCTGCCTCTCATTTCGTCTCCCTCCTCTCCTCCTCTCCTCCCTTTTATCATACTTCTCGTTTCGTGATCCTTATCCACTTGTCCCTCCTCTCCTCCCTTATCCTTCCTCTCCTCTCCTTTCCCCCTGCTCCCTCTGCCAAGCGCCTCTTCCTCTACTCGTCCTCCTCCTCCTCCTCCTCCTCCTCCTCCTCCTCCTCCTCCTCCTCCTCCTCCTCCTCCTTCCTCTCCTGAAATTTCGGGAGCCCGCAACTCCCACGTCTACGCCCACCGCCGAGCCGCCCGTGACAGGAACTTCAGTCGCGCCATCTGCGCGCAAAAGGGCGGGTTCGATCGCTTCTAGCTGCCCTCACCAGTGCCACTGTCGCTGCCCTCGGAAGGCCCAGCGCCTTGCTGCGAGGCTTTGTTGCGGGCGTGGCGCCGCCGTCCATGGACATAGTGCTGGCGCACTGCCGCCGCAACGCCCTTCGCCCTTCCCCCGCTGCCCGCCCTTCTGTAACTTCTATTTGAGGAGATCGACATGGTGAAGGACCGCTGCGCTCTTGAGGATGATGGTGCTTCCGGAACCCGCTTTGAAGAGAATTTGGTGGAACCGCTGCTAACGCCGCAGATGTTCTACAGAAGCTCCGACCTCGAGGGTTCTGACGGCAAGACGGAATTCGGATCGAGGCGGGGTTCCACGGCGGCCCAGTCAGCGTAGGCCACCCGAGAGCAACCGCAGGACGTGCCGTTCCGCAGGAGAACTGTGCGCAGTGGCCTCTCGCTCACTCGAGCGTACTGCGCACCCGGGACGGAGGCGATATGAAGTCCGGACTCCCTTCGGAGTACCCTGGGGATTCAAAAGATTCCTTGCTCAAAAAAGCCTCCGCGCTGCAAATGTCACCGACCCCCCGCCCGAGCTGCAGTCCAACGACTCTCCGTGACGGGGGCCGCCGAGGAAAAGCTCCACGTCCGTCTGTCGTCGGCATTACCTCGCAGCTGTAGACGGGCTGGCGGAGGGGCTCGAGTACAACCTCTCCGTGCCCGAGGTCGCCGAGGAGGAGGTCGCCTTCGACCACCCATTCGCTGACAAGCCGTTATTCGACGCATTGGCTCCAGGCCCAAGGACGAGGCTGCAGACCAACCGCGTCCCGCCTGGCTTTAGCGAGGAGAGGGCCTCTGCAATCGAGGAGTTGAGAGTCTCATCGCTCATAGATGCCTGAGCTGTCGCGGCGTTCGCCGAGCCTCAGCCTGATGGGGTGGCTGAGATAGCCTGCGGCACCGAGGCGAGGCCAATTGCTGCGCGTGTACCTCTCTTTCTGGCGCCGTCCTGGGCAAGACCAGCGGGTTGCAAAAGGATGCGATTGGGAATGGATTGGAGTCAAAATTCTCCGTGTCAGGGGTTCCCGAGAAGAAGAAGAAGAAGAAGTATAACAATAAAAAACAGACGATTAGGCAGAATGGCAATGATGCGCATAGTAAAAATAAAGATACGAATCATAACAATAATAAGAACAATAAGAATACAAGGAGGAGGAGGAGGAAAAGAAAAACAATCTCAGAAAAAAAGACGCGCATGCGACTGGCTGCCCGAAAACAATCGACCCTGTCGGCGTGTGTGAAGCGTTTTCCGTTAATTAGAGCCGCCGTCACCACTCTCCTCCCTTTCCCTGGGCCCACCTCCTCAAGCGACCCAGCCAGACGATTATCTGCCGACCCTTCAGCGTGTGGAAGACGCTGGCGTTGCCAAAGTCGTCGTCGTCGTCATTCCCAAGGAAATGAAGGAACGAGGAAAGGGAACCTCGGTGTTGAGTCGAAAACAAGCCTCTTCCCTTTGTCCCTTCCCTGCGAGGGGGGGGGCGGGAAGTGGGGGGGGGGAAACCTGGATCAGAATACCGCTCCCGGGGTCCCGGTGGGTCCCCCGGTGGGGGCGGCCTCCAGCGAAAATCGCGGGGGAGGTCCCCTCTTCAGGGTCGGCGGCGCCGGCCGGCAGGCCCTCGCAATAAAAAAAACAAAATCTCCGAAGAAATACCCGCCTGCGACCGGCTGCCCGTTGACAAGTCGGTCTTCGGTACTGGATCCGAGTTTGAGGACACGATGAATATCCACCCTCGGCTTGTTTTCGCCCGAGATTGGAGTGGAGAGGGCTGGATCCGCCATGCGTTGAGAGTGGGTCTGACAGAAGAAGTCGTGAGCTGGCTTGACCGCACGCGGACGGCTCAGAGAGGATGCCGTCTCCGCGGAGGCAGCGAGTTTTCACGCGCGCCTCGCCGTCCTGACTGTCTTAGTGAGAGTGGCTGGCCTCTTGCCCATCGGCCTCGGCGTTGGTTCTCGTTGGCGGTGCTACCCGCCCTCCTATCGCGAGTGTGCGGTGGGAGTGCGGGTGGCTGGTGTGCCGTTCAGCTTCTGGGTTTCCCTCGTGACCACCCACATCCTGGTGTCAGTCGGCCTGCCACGTTTTCAGCACGCCTGATCGGCAATCCTTCGAGAAGGGGATCGACTACAGAATTGACGTACCCCAAACTTGAATTGTCTTTAAAATCTACAAAGAAAATATGCCGAATGGATGTAGATCTACGAGCATTCGACGTATGTTTAGTATATTCGACGAATAAGCCGATTATTATGGGGTCAATCAATAAATTCTGTAGTCGATATTATACTCGAGTCCTTCCTCCTCCTTCTCCTCACCCTCCTCCTCCTCCCCTCCCCTCTCCGCCCCAGTCCGCCTCCCCCACCTCCCCCGGCCCAACACCCGAAAATGTGTTCTCTCCACGGCATGTGCCCCCGGAGACCTCGACGTCATCACCAGGACTAGACTCACATCACAAGCGATGATTGAAGTACTGCGTGCAATGATGCTTGTGCTAAGCCAAAGCACTTCTGCTGACGGCATTTCGAACCGTCTTGTGCATGGCCATCTGGCCCTTGCTCGGCAGACGCCGCTGCCAATGTGAGGCTGCTCCAGGCCGAGGTTGTGTTTCGGGGCGCCCAGTTGTCGGTCGCCGTGGTCAAAGCCGCTCTCACATGCTGCGCCCCCCTCCCCCCATGTCGGCCCCAGCGGTGCGGTGCCAAAATCGGTGGCCGAGCTGAAATGCATCCCTTGGTGCCAGGGCGGTCCAATCCGAGCGCTCAGGCGGAAGGCGACCGCTCTCCCCCTCCTCCCCGCCCCCTCCCCCCTCCTTCTTCGTCTCCTCCGCCTCCTCCGCCTCCTCCTCCGCCTCCTCCTCCTCCTCCTCCTCCTCCGCCTCCTCCTCCTCCTCCGCCTCCTCCTCCTCCTCCTCCTCCTCCTTCGCCTCCTCCTCCTCCTCCTCCTCCTCCTCCTCCTCCTCCTCCTCCTCCTCCCCCTCCCCTGTCCAAACAACCTCCGAAGACTCCTTCGCTGGGCCCAGTGCAGACATCCGACGCCGACGCCACGGTTTTCCTAACGCGTGGCCCCCTGACCTCTCGGCCCCGCCCCCGGACCAGCCCCCCTCCCACCCACCCCTCCCTCCCTCCATCTCTCCCCCTCCCTCCCTCCCCCCTCCCTCCCTCCCTCCCCCTCCCCCCCTCCCTCCCCCTCCCTCCCTCCCCCTCCCTCCCTCCCTCCCCCTCCCTCCCTCCCTCCCTCCCCCTCCCTCCCCCTCCCCTCCCCGCCCCTCCCCCTCGCCCGTGGGAGGAAGGGGGAGGAAGCAAGGAAGAAGGGGGAACCAGGGTCGGGAGGCACAAGGGAGGACCCCCCGGACATCCGACGTTCTGAGTTGCCCCATGACGTGGGTTCCCGGACCTCCCAACTCCTCCCCAGGACCCGACTTTCATCTTAGGTCTTGATTGGGTAAGACGGCCTCCAGACGCTGAAAATTCCTAGAGGACGACGCCGAATCGCGATGGCTTGTGGCGAGGGCCTCCGCGGAAGGGTGGGGGGGCGTCAGCCCGCTGCCACAAAGAGCTCCTCACTGGCCGTCGCACCGCGCTCTCAGAACGAAGCCCTCGACGAAATATCGGTGTATCCGGCTGTCCTCAGCTGGCAAAGGGGACTGATACACGACGACACCGGTTACGTCGTCGTGCACGCCGCCAGTCCTCTCTCCCTCTTCCTGTGCCCTACCTCTTCATTGCCCTTCTCCACTTTCGCATCACATGTTTCCTATTCCCCTTCGGTCTCCTCCTCCTTTCCCTCCTCCTTTCCCTCCTCCTCCTCCTCCTCCTCCTCCTCCTCCTCCTCCTGTTCCCATTCCCGTCCCTCCTCCCTCTGCCCTCCTCCCTCCTCCCTCCTCCCCCCTCACTCCTCACTCCTCCCTCCTTCCCCCTCCTCCTTTCCTCTTCCTTATAGAGAACTCCTCCCTATCGCACCCCGAGGCCGGCGTAAGACTTCCTCACCATTTCTGATCCTGAAGCGTAAGAAGTGGCAACAGTTTCATATATGGAGGGCGGATCGCGACGCGCACATTCGATATGACAATTCGCAAGGATTTGACGGATTGAGGGCGGGTCGTTGTGATAATGTGGTTCTCGCCCTAGCGCCGTGCACATCCGTTTGAAAACTTTGAAAGACCTTCGCGGATTGAGGGCGGGTCGTTTTCTAAATGTGGCTCTCGCCCTAGCGCCGCGTACAATCGTTTTTAAACAGTTGCGAGGGCTTCACAGATTGAGGGCTCGCTTTCAAATTGTGGCTCTCGCCCTAGCACCGCACACACTCATTGTAACAATTTGCAAGAGTTCTACGGACTGAGGGCGGGTGGTTTTCAAAATGTGGCCCTCGCCTCAGCGCCGCGCACATTCGTTATGACAATTTGCAAGAGCTTGGCGGATTGAGGGCAGGTCGTTTTCAAAATGTGGTTCTCGCCCTAGCGCCGCGCACACTCGCTTTAAACATGTAAAGAGCTACACGGAGTGATGGCACTTCGATTTCAAAATGTGATTATGGCCATAGCGCCGAGCACACTCGTTTTAAACATTTAAAGAGCTGCACGGAGTGATGGCAATTCGCTTTCAAAATGTGGCTATCGCATTAGCGCCGCGCACACCGGTTTTAAAGCTTCGCAAGGGTGTCACTGATTCTTATGGCTACCGTACCAGAAACGGCGTTTCGGAATGCTTTTAGATTGTCAGGGCGTAACAGTTACGCAGATTCGCGGCGCCGAAGTGCCAGGAATGGCATTCGGGCACGATCCAGGATCGCCAAGACGAGCCAGTCAGGCTAACTCGTGGCTGGTGCTCCTCCTCCTCCTCCTCCTCCTCCTCCTCCTCCTCCTCCTCCCCATCCTCATCCTCATCCCCCTCCTCCTGCCTCCTCCCTCCTCCCTCCCTCCCTCCCTCCCTCCCCTCCTCCTCCTCCTCCTCCTCCTCCTCCTCCTCCTCCTCCTCCTCCTCCTCCTCCTCCTCCTCCTCCTCGTCCTCCCACTCCCACTCTCACGGCCCACGGAGCGGCGTCAGACGCGCAGCCGAACGGTGCGCCACGACGCGGCGGCGGCGGCGGCGGCGGAGGCCACGGCCACAGCGGCCGAGACGCGCCAGGCACGAGGGACGCCAGGCCGGAAGACGGGACGTGGGAGGATTGATTAGCAATAACGGGACCACTAGCCCAAGGAGAGATTACAAAAGCTAAGAGGACCAAAACATTAGAGAAAGGGGGTCTTTCCTGCAGATGTATCCAACCAAACCGCCCAGAATGATGATCCCTGATGCTGAGACGGGGACCCGAGTGAGGCCACTTCACTGTGTCATCAGGGTCAAGGTCTTATGTGATGCTCAATGGAGGGGGGAGGATTCACACATCTAAAGCAGGATGCCTCAAGAAGGAAGGAGATGGGGTCGCGCCCGTGGGCGGGTACCTCCTGGCCAGGCGGCGCCAGGGGCCTCCCGGACAATTAACCGGAAGACCACCGAGCGCTCACCAGCCCGAAAGCCCCCGCGGCACGGACCTCCAACGCGAACGAGCACAAGTACCAGGGCAGCGCGCGGCCAGGGCTCAACCGGGTGCCGCCAGTGGGCCTCAGCCTCGCCGGCGGGGCGCGGCAGAGGGCGGCCGCTGGCCGAAAGGCGACCGCGGGCTGCCTGGACCAGGCCGCCGTAGCCGACTGAACTGGCCCCCCCCGCCGCGACGCACGCTGCCGGAGGCACGGGCGCTCGGGTTCTGCCGTCAGGCGTCGACGCCCGCCGGGGGCGGCGCAGCCATTCGCGTGTCTATCTCTGGCCAAGGGTGGCTGCTGATCCAGGTCTCCAGCAGCATGACGAAAGGCGCCTCGAGCGGACACCGTATCCCGCCTCCATTCAAGTTCGAACTCTGGGGGGCGTGGTGACCCCTAGGACCGGCGTCCACAGACTGGCCACTCTGGCTTGCCACTCCGAAGTCCCCTGGCCCTGGCCGTGCCAGACCCGCCGGACCATACGCACCGCCAGGCTGTCTCTGCATTCGCTGCCATACCCGCCTGACGATACGCACCGCCTGACTGACTCTACACTGACGCCACGCCAACGACCTACGAATCCACACGGCAAGAGCCGCCACAGGAGTCGCATCTTTCTGCCTGCCGACACCCAGCTTGCTGGACCTGCCTGCGCAGTCCGCTGAGTCCCATGGCCTGGGTCACCGGCCAGCCACCGACATATTGGCACGGCTGGGATCCCATGTCCTGTCGGCCTGCCCGCGCGCAGTTGCTGCCCACTTTTCTAGTCGATGAGGGTCGACGGCGTCTCGCCTGCTACCTTAACCACATTTCATCAAGATCCGAGTCCCAGGCCTCCATCCCTTGTTTAACGTGGCGGCTCACCACTGGTTGTCCACTTGTTATTCCCAACCATCCCATCCTGTGGTGTTGGGTCCTCGTTTTGAAGAGACGGTGCCCCGCGTCCCTCCTCCTTCCTTCCTTCCTTCCTTCCTTCCTTCCTTCCTTCCTTCCTCCTCCCCCCTCCTCCCCACCCCCCCTCCTCCTGCCCGCGTGCGGTTCCTCCACCCAGGGCAGCGTTTCGTAGCCCCATAGGGAGCTCCACCGAAGGGCCCAGTGGGGGTGTCCACATGCGGCTCCCCCACCCAGGGCAGCGCTTCGTAGCCCCATAGGGAGCTCCACCGGAGGCCCCAGTGGGAGTGTCCACATGCGGTTCCCCCACACACAGGGCAGCGTTTCGTGGCCCCATAGGGAGCTCCACCGAAGGCCCCAGTGGGGGTGTCCACATGCGGTTCGGGCAGCGCTTCGTGGCCCCATAGGGAGCTCCACCGAAGGCCCCAGTGGGGGTGTCCACATGCGGTTCCCCCACCCAGGGCAGCGTTTCGTGCCCCATAGGGAGCTCCACCGAAGGCCCCAGTGGGGGTGTCCACATGCGGCTCCCCCACCCAGGGCAGCGTTTCGTGGCCCCATAGGGAGCTCCACCGAAGGCCCCAGTGGGGGTGTCCACACGCGGCTCCCCCACCCAGGGCAGCGTTTCGTAGCCCCATAGGGAGCTCCACCGAAGGGCCCAGTGGGGGTGTCCACATGCGGCTCCCCCACTCAGGGCAGCGCTTCCTGGCCCCATAGGGAGCTCCACCGAAGGCCCCAGTGGGGGTGTCCACATGCGGTTCCCCCACCCAGGGCAGCGTTTCGTGGCCCCATAGGGAGCTCCACCGAAGGCCCCAGTGGGGGGGTCCACATTCGGTTCCCCCACCCAGGGCAGCGTTTCGTAGGCCACCGAAAACGATGTTAACGATGTTCATACTTGCGGTATTCACAACTGCATATGGTTGGGTCCTTCGCCAGGCTAATTTTGAAGTGTGGGGCCACTGGACGAGGTGCCGTGGCCCGCACCCGACATCGATCAATGCTGGCCCCTCTCTCGCTTCCCGGAGGGGGTTCGTCATGCAAGTGCCGTCGCCATAACGTCCGTTTTGCTTGCCTCTGCTGTAGTCCATGCCGATATCGCGACTCGTGTATGGGTCGATCGGCTGATAGAAGTGGGCCACGTCATGTTCGACGGTCCAGTCAGCGGTGAAGTATGCCAGTTGAGGAAATCTCCGGTTGATCTGCTTCGCGAAGGCGTTCGCCAGGGCTTCGAACATCTTGCTGGGGTGCTCTTTGGCCGCCGTGGTCAACCAGTTTCCTTGTTCGTCCACCCGCTGAAGGCCCTTGTGGTACGCCTTGGTGTGCCAGCACTTGCCTGCGATCGGGATCTTCGCCACCTCCTGACGCAGGGTCGGCATCGCAACTGCTAGTAGGGTTGTCGCCCTCCTCGCCGCAGCTCCGTACATACACTGGAAAATGCATACCGTTGCAGCCGCAGGCTGCTGACATAGATGCCTGGTCTCGGGTACCTTCCATCTACTTGCCATGTGGTCCTCTGGCGGCTCCCACGGGTGCTCGGCCACACCAGGCACCTGGTAGGCCGCACTCTTGTTTCCGTTCCTTCTCCTCCTTCTCCAACTCCTCCTCCTCCTCCTCCTCCTCCTCCTCCTCGTCCTCCTCGTCCTCCTCGTCCTCCTCGTCCTCCTCGTCCTCCTC